TGTTGAGATAACCAATTTGAGGATATTTGGGCATCAAAACAACCTAATCTAGGGAACTTTTTGAGGTAGGCTCTAATTTGATGGTTTAGAGCCTCGGCTCTATGTAAACTTTTCCCATATATATATATAGGGTTTAGGGTATATATATATATATATATATATAGGAAGATGGTGAGCCCACTAGTTCACATGAAAAAATGAGCCCAACGACCCACATTGAATCTGGGCCTATCTGACGATCATGAATATCCGATAGTGTTTAAATTTTAATTTTTTTTCTAAAAATCCATATCACTTGAAATTTAGAGCATATGTACATCAAAAATAGGTAAATATTCGAAAAATAGCAAAAAAAATATTGTACATGAAATAAATGGACAAAAATACCCCCAAAAGGTTTTGGGGGTATTTTGGTCAACTGTTTCCACGAATTATTATTTTTATATTTTTATTAGATGTGACTTGATGAGAAGAACATATTCCTAAAATTTCAAGTGATTTGGATTTGTAGAAAATTTTTTAAAATTCAAACATTAGCAAACATTCGTGCTCGTTAGATCGGCCCAGAGTCAATCTGGACCGTTGGGCTTATACTATTCCATGAGCTAGAGGGCTCACCCAAGCTTTTTTCATACGGCTTGAAATCTAATGGTAGATGATTATGAACTTGTTATCAATAATATGGGTATATGACAATAAAACAGGGGGGCGGCTCATAGTAATGGTGGCAATAGACCCGGGACCCAACAGGAATGGGTATTGGTCCAACTTTGGATCCAAGGTCTGGATCTAGCCGGAACCCACCCTGACCAGACCCGTTGCCACCCTGAGTACAACTAGTTACCCTGTCATTCATTAAAAGGTCGTTTGGGTCCCAGGATACGCCAATCCTGGGTTTTTCTCAATTCATGATTTTGCAGATTCTAGTATATGTATAAGCAAATTTTGAAAACAATGTTGTTTGGCTGGTTCCTGGAAGATAAGAACCCAGTATATGAAAAAGATCCCATTTGGCACTTTGAAGATGAAAACTAGGTTTTTGTTATTTACTATTAATGCAATTTAATCGGTCATTCTATAAGTTAATAATTCCCTAGTACTACATGACCAATAAAAAAGATTTTTTGGGAATAAGTTGATAATAATATAAGCAATAAATTAGACGGTTCCAATCATATTTTTCGATATTTCTATAGGTCGAATTATGATTCTCACTCTCTTTCTCTCTCTCTCTCTCTATGCATACGACTCAAGATAAGTTATTCAAAAAATTACATTACATCTATAACTGCATCTCATTAGATAATGAATAAGTTAAATATTACGAACGCATTAGATGGTGCATCTCACAAAAACTCCTAGTTAACATTAATTCCCCACCATATGTGACACAATTCTACGACCCCTGAATTCTCTTTCTTCTCCCCTTCATGTCCCTTCAACAATTCAGTTTAGTTTCCAATTCTTGCTAGCAGGGCTGGTATGCGAACTAGAGCAAGACCCAACCGTTTTATCATCATTTCTATAGCTTAGACATGGAGAAGCAAGAACCCTTATTGGACTCTTAAGGCAATGATGAAACTGACCCAATACTCTTAATCAACAAAATTTTCTGAATAAGTTCAATAGCACCTCAACACCTTGCCATTTTCAAAATGGGGGCTACAAGAAAGAGCGTTGTTGAAATCTAGTGATTTGGATTCCTCAAATACAGATACGGTTACAGCTGCAGCAATCTCAAAAGGCTTGAACTCCAAAAACTCAGTCCCTTTGATTGTGTTTAAGATTATTTCACTTGATCTACAGAGACAAGCTCACAGGGCTAAGGAATCGAGCCATTGATCTTATGAAGAAAGTAATCAACAAAAGAGAATGGTGTCACAGACTTCATTCTCCACTTCAAGGTGCTATGTGCAAGAAGCTCTGTTCTCAGAATCGTTCGAGACTAGAATACATATTTCGCTTCCCTAACATGTAAATGAAGAGATAATGGCACATCATCATCTTCCATCTTAGTAGCCGGATACAAACAGGCAACTGATAACAATTGTATCATCCAAGCTTTACCTTACTACATATGATAAAAAAACTGCGAAACCAATCAATAAAGCAAAAACCCAAAACAAAACACCTATAACTCAATCATTAAACAAACCAATGAAGAAAAAAAGGAGCAATCTTGGCCTCCTCTGTTCACTACTTATCGGAAGTTTATAGCAAGATAAGAATCGATCCAGATAATTTACAAAGACGTACGAAGTAGAGTGGCTGAAAGCTGTAATGGCCATGAACCTATAGAACCCCAAACAAAACCCTTAAAAACCCAAAACTCCAACCCAAACAAATGTTACAAAACAAAAACCAAAGAAATCTATGAAAACCATAAAAAAGAGAGCTTTATCAGAAACCCACCTTCCTGTTGGTGGTATAAGACCAAGGGGCTAGATACGTAATCTTTTAAAAAACTTTTTGATCATATTAAAAGTCAAGGGTTTAAATTTATGAATATCTCGATACAAAACCACATTCCAGCCCACAAGCTTGGTTTACACACATTTGAATAATAAAACTTCAACACTAATAGGTCCCTTACGAATCCTTTACTTAAAAATACAATTAAACTCAATACAATTTACATTGCTACGACATTTTACATGACTTGCACTCAAAATTCTTTATTATATCAAAATTACATGATAATTTCATCTTCATTCTTCATCCTCATCATGTATCACAATGTCTCATATACATCATACACTTGATCATAATAATCCAATGAGATTTCAATTCACATAAACAACAAAGTATAGCATTGAATTTCATACCACAAGATTAAATAACAATCTCAATATTTACATAACATAATCAATTCTATCAATCATGAATCACTAAGGGACTGTTTGATAACACCCTAATATTGTTATATTATAAGACAATATAGAATCTAAAAAACTCTTAATTTTAAAAATTTACATGCCTTGTTTGATGGAGTCCAATCATCTCTTTTAAGATTCAAATAATGCTAAAAAATCTGAATATTTAGAAATTCAACTTGGAGTTGAATTTTGCGGCATTCAATTTCCACATCAAAATTTCTTGCGTGCGTCTCTCCCCCAACAAAGATCCCACCTCTCTCTTTGCCAAGATGAAAAAGCAACGGCAAGCATGCGAGGAAATGCGGACGACTTAATAAATTTATTTTTGAAAACATGGGGATCATGAATATCAAAAAATAAATATTTTTTGAAAATTTAAAATAATAATTCTATTAAAAAAACATTTAGATCGTTAGTTTCAATTGTTTTTAAATGGACTACGTATTTGCCTCCATCTTTAAGATAGATTGATGCTTTATACCTTTGAACCGCATATCAACCCGCACAAAACAATTCATCTGCAAACAAAAAAAAAATTATTAAAGCCAAAACCATTCTTGCTCTCAATGCTACTCAATTTATCCTAACCACCGTTAATCGAATAGAGCAATAGATCTCTCTCTTAAACTGCAAAATCACAATAGACACACGTATCTTTCATTTAAAACTGGTTTGAGCTCATTTGGATATATATAAGTCAATGAAAAGTCCAATTTACAGAGCTCGCATTTTTCTGGAAAATTTTAGAATTTCAGGTGACAGTATTTTGGAAACTCGGATTTATCTCCCAATTTACAAGGAATTTCACTCTGCCACCGAATTCATTTTTAAAGGGGACATACCCATCTTTTAATTAAAACTGGGTTGAGCTCATTTGGATACATATAAGTCAATGAAAAGTTCAATTTACAGAGCATGCATTTTTTTGGAAAATTGAAGAATTTCATATCCAAATTTTGACACACTTCAAAGAGTAAATAGTAACTTTCAAACCAAAATAGGCATTAATGCAAGGTTGTTTTTCCCCACCAATTTTCATAGCCAACAGAAATGCCTTTAATGCTCAATCTATCATGCAAATAAGAGGCACAACCCAGGAAAATCTGGGCTTATTCCAGCATATTATCATACATGTTCAAGCTTGTAATCCAAACTAAATAATCAAACAAAAACTATGAAACCATGGATGCTATAATCAACTTACCTATGCCAAGAGAATAATTGTCACGATCCCGTGCCCTAACCCCTACCGTACATGTTAGAGGGCGAGTGCGGGATCGCGACCAGAGGTGGCGAATGCCACTTAGGTAGGAGTGGCACTACGCTTATAGAAAGGCGCAATTAAAGCAAACCACGAAAGAAGGTAAACACAAACGCAAAGTTACACAACTGAGTAGAGAAAAACCATTTTATACATATACATTCTCCAAAAATTCTTTACAATTATGTTCAACGTACTACAGGCCTAACAACAAAATTTCATCACTTCATCAAACAACTCTGTGGCACCGCCACTAGACACCTGCTATTGCTAAACCCTGAGCTTTAAGCACCTGCCACAAGTGTCCAGCTGCCCGCAGTAGAACTGTTGGTTATCACTCTACATAGGGAAAATAAAAGGGGTGAGCTCAAAGCCCAGTAAGTAGATCATCACCATTGCATTCCGGCCTATAACAAATGATAATTATAGACAGTGCCCACAATTTATACAGGTGTCACAAAGTGGAGTCATTTCTCACAATTGTTTAGCAGTGTAAGGAGTAGAGTTCAGATATCAGGACATTACATAATGCATGAGCTACCAGTCACTCCATCTCTTATCACAATGACGGGTCATAAACTCAGACAGAACACATAATAATGCACATAGGCAGAATCTAAAGTTGCTTACTCCTAAAGTAGAAGTCTCATCGCTCAGGCCAAGCTAATTCTGTAACTTGGAACTTCTACCCTCACTCAGGAGGGAAGACTATGACAAATGGGTATCCTATTTTCGAATGTCTTCACACACGCATACAATCCCCAACGTGTTTTGGGGTTTTCAATAGACAGTGGCCTTGCAAGACACGACCCTCTCTTTATGCCTTTCAGGTGAGGGGGGCATCACACTACCGCTTTGTGACCCAATGTAGAGTACCAGTATAGATCCTGGGGGGGTGCGACCCTCCCGGATATTCATATCCATATCCCAACCCCATTCTTATCATTGGGGTCGGGGCAAGATCTTAACTGCCGATATTACTTTCTTATCATGACAGTATCCCCTTACCAATGGGTGTCCCATTGCGTAGTGATCAGTATCACAATTATATCATAACAGTATCCCACCACCAATGGGTGTTCCATTGCGTAGTGGTCAGTATCACAGTCATATCATAACAGTATCCCGCTACCAATGTGTGTCCCATGACGTAGTGGTCAGTATCACAGTCATATCATAACACATCAAATTACAACTGTGTACATGCATATTCAAGCATTCATTCACTCATGCTTTGCTATTCTTCAAGAATTTAGGCGCATTCACAGTATCATAAACATGCATATTCAGTGCCTCATGATAGAAAATTTCAATCTCTTTATGAAAGGTTTAAGCTTTATTCAGAAATTCACTACCATTTCCATCAGTGATACACATATGCGAAAGAAGGCATGGTATCCAATTCATAAGAAATTTCAACTCAATCTTAACATCAACTTGAAATAGACATAAATATCTTTCAATCAAAGGAAACTTGAAGTTATTTGAGCATCATTTGGTCAGTCAAGGGCTCAGTGTAAAATGGACTACAATCCTGAAATTTCTGAAATTCCTTACAATAATATGTCCCCATAAATAGAGGCATAACTTCTAATCTATATGAAATTTTGATATGATTTCAAAACCAATTTCAAAGTAGACACACATATCTTTCAAAAGGAGGTGGTTTGAAAATATTTGGACCCCGTTTGACTAGTCGAAGGCTTAGTACAATAGGAACGAAACTTCTGAAGTCTGCTGTAATCTGATAATAGTGACATGTTCCCATAAACAGAGACATAGCTCCGAATATGTAAAGAATTTCAACTGAGCTTAAACAGAAAAATCATAGTAGACATACATATCTTTCATTTAAAACTGGTTTGAGCTCATTTGGATATATATAAGTTAATGAAAAGTTCAATTTACAGAGCATGCATTTTTCTGAAAAAATTCAGAATTTCAGGTGATAGTATTTTGGAAACTTTGATCTATCTCCCAATTTACAGGGAATTTCACTCTGCCACCAAATTAATTTTTAAAGGGGACTTACCCATCTTTCATTTAAACTTGGGTTGAGCTCATTTGGATATATATAAGTCAATGAAAAGTTCAATTTACAGAGCAAGCATTTTTCTGGAAAATTGCAGAATTTCATATCCAAATTTTGGCACACTTCAAAGAGTGAATAGTAACTTTGAAACCAAAATAGGCATTAATGCAAGGTTGTTTTCATCTTAAAATATATTCACAAGGGTGTTTCCCCACCAATTTTTTATAGCCAACAGAAATGCCTTTAATGCTCAATCTATTATGCAAATAAGAGGCACAGTCCTGGAAAATCAGGGCTGATTCTAGTATATTATCATGCATGTTCAAGCTTGTAATCCAAACTAAATAATCAAACAAAAACCATAAAAGCATGGATGCTATAATCTGTGCCAGGTGACCTCCAGGTCATACATGCTCTCTCTAGGACACAGGGGGCTCCATCACTCTCGCCTTGACATGTGAAAAGGCATTGACTTTGAGGATCCAGGGTGGTGGATGTGTATAGCCCTTGTAATACACACAGCCAAAGAGGATCCAGGTGGTGGATGCTGAGCCAGGAGGAAACCAAGGCTCTATTGAGCAAAGCAGGACAAGAGGAAACCAAGACCCTATTGTACAATGAGATGGTGGCTCGTAAATGTGAGTGCCTAAAGGCCTCTGCATGGCATGCTATGCAGCACGGAAGCATGACAATGACATTGGACGAAAATGGGTAAGAGAGGCGTACTTGGTTCTTTGTTTGCATGTAGTTGGACTCCCCTTGCACTGAAGAAAGAGATCAGGACACTCCTATGCAGTTCTTGATCTTTGTGACAACAAACTTGTCCTTGGAGTGGTCACGTGGGATCTATGGCTATCCATGGTCCCTCTATGCCTTAGTTATCTTTGATAGGCTAACCACGAGCCCATTGCATGGGAGACGTGCATCATGGATTTGTTGGGTTGGCATGAAGTCCAAAGTGTGGTTATAGGGTGGTCATGGAACTTTTAGTTGACGATCTGGTACCATTGCTAGAAACAATTAATAGAACAAATTTCCTTGGAGTGGTCACGTGGGATCTATGGCTATCCATGGTCCCTCTATGCCTTAGTTATCTTTGATAGGCTAACCACGAGCCCATTGCATGGGAGACGTGCATCATGGATTTGTTGGGTTGGCTTGAAGTCCAAAGTGTGGTTATAGGGTGGTCATGGAACTTTTAGTTGACGATCTGGTACCATTGCTAGAAACAATTAATAGAACAAATTTTTGTGTGTTTCAAAAAAAAAAAAAAAAAAAGAAGATATGTATGCTTTCAAGCTAGGGTGGTGATGTACTTGAACCTGATCCTCCTATTATAAAACCTAATGCCAATGGCCATGCTAGAAGAATATTAGCAAAATGGCTAGAAGATGACAAAGTAGAAAGGACAATAATGTCAAGCTTCATGGAGGGCAATTTGATTAGAGTTGTAGCGGACTACATCGTCGAAAATATGATGGGTGCCTTTCCTGAAAAATATGAGATTAACTCTAAGACCCAAGTTCAACTCCAACTAGAAAAGTACAATTCTTGAAGGGTGAAAGAAATAGACTTGGTCACCGAGCATGTTAATAAAAATGAATATCTTCATAAAAGACACATTCGGGAACACAATCCGAGACAACATACCAGCCTCTATTGTCCTAAACAGTCTAACCGCATCATGGGAGCACGCTATGTTGGGCATTAGTGGACTTATTGGCTTCGCACCCTTTGTGTAGCATTTCCTCCAAATCTGCTAAAACCTTCACTTGCCCTTCTAGTGCTAGAAACAAGGTGAGGTCTTGCAAGCCTAGCGGGATAAGAAAAGCCATTAGTTAACATTAATGAAAAAGTTCAAGTTATACTTGTGTCTATATGAAGCAGTCATTCCAGGAGCATTAACAAGAAATTTGGTCTTGATTTATAGTTCCGTCTTTTTTTTCCTTTTCTGATTTGTTTTTTAAATGAGTAAAGTGGGTGTTTTATTCATGTTTGCAGTATCAAAGAACCATGCACAAAAAATAACCGCACCAAATCTATGACAATGCCCAAAAAGTGGACCAACATTCTGATACTAAAAGTGATCAATTGAAGGCTCCCTCCCCATTAGAAGCTCGCTTCAGTATTCCACTAATTGCATTTTCAACAGAGAGAAGGCATTTAGCAGTTTCCATTAAAATATAGGAAACGAACAGAAATCCAATATTCCAAGTATGAGAAGCACAAATGAAACGAGATACAAAATATAAAGTATTACAAAAGCTCTATCAGGGCAAAGGTCAAACATGAACATGTAATATGAAGAATAGTGTAATTCGTATGGCATGAGTGCATTGGAAGCTGAATAAATCGCCTTTAAAAGCCTTGCAGCATGGTTTTTTGATTTCCGCTCTCATATATTCATATGTGTTTAGGTACTCATATTTTTGCACTCTTGGGAGTGTGGCTCTAATTGAGTGAAAGCAACCATTAGAGTAATGGTGCCACATCCATGGGTGAAAGATGTTGTGTGAGGAAGGCTCTATGGATAAAACAGGCCATGTGATATGCACTACACTCGGCTCGGCTCGGCTTAAAACGGCTCGGCTTAGCTTGTGTAGGCTTAGCTCAGTTTACATTGGCGTGGCTCAGCTCATGTCGGCTTGGTTGAATTAAATTTTGACTGCTTTTAGCTCAAATGAGCCGATAAATGCCTAGCAACTCTATCTGAGCTGAGCCGAAGTAAGCCAAGTGAAGCTGAGCCAAGCCTATATAAGCCGAGCCGAGATAGTGAGATAAAATAAAATAGTTAAAATACGAAAAAAAAAACCATTAACGAAAAAAAAAACCATTTACGTTTCTACAAGAAAATTTGTGGAATTTTGAAATTAACGAAATTCATTGAAATTTTGAAATAGCGATATTGTGGAATTTCAGTGAAATTTTAGAACATCAGACAAATTTTGGACATCATTTTTTATTCCCAAATTAAACGATCTTTTTTTTTCATTTTGGCTACAAATTGTTGTCAAAAAATCAGAAATAGACAATCTTCAAATTTTTATAAGTTAATTAGGGTTTCCATATCCCAATTCTTTGCTTATGTGTCATCTCTTTCCCTTTTATTTTCTCTCTCTCAACTAGATTGTTTATTACCTCTTTCTTCATAGCCATAGCCGAGCTGGAGTTAGCCAAGAGGAGCCAAAAAGCCAATAGAGGACTAGATAAAAATTAAAATAAATATAAAAATATAAAAAATATTTAAATATATAAAAATTGATGCGGTTAGCATGCAGTTAAGCCCGCAAATGTAGAAATGCAGACGCTTCAATGAATTTATTTTTGAAAACATGGGGATCATGAATATGAAAAAATAAATAAATTTTAAAAATTTAAAATAATAATTCTATTAAAAAAACATTTAGATCGTTAGTTTCAATTGTTTTTAAATGAACCATCTATTTGCCTCCCTCTTTAAGATAGATTGATGCTTTATACCTTTGGCCCGCACAAAACAATTCATCTGAAAAAAAAAAAGTTTATTAAAGCCAAAACCATTCTTGCTCTCAATGCTACTCCCTTTATCCTAACCTCCGTTAATCGAATAAAACGGTAGATCTCTCTCTTATCATCAAATACGGTACTTTGTTGAAAGAAGTTAAGGGAAGACGAAGGAATTTATATATTATCTTATAAATAGTATTGTTACTTATTATATAATATTTTATAAATAATATTATTATTTATTATATATTAGTTTATAAATAATAATTATATATTATTTAATATGTAATAATATATTAATATATATCTTTTCATTATATTATATTTCTTAAATTATATAATACAATGAGATAACATAAATATTATATAATATATATTATAATTGATATAGATAGTGAGGCACTGAACACCTCAGCCACTATGGTAAGTAGTAAGGGTGAAAGGGGGTCCCCTTGGCAGAGCCCCTCTCGAAGCATGAAAGTAACCCTTAGATGTGCCATTAATAAGGTCCGAAAATTAGGGTTTTGAAATACACCCTGGGATCCATCTCCACCAAATGGCAGTTTGGACAAAGTCTCATCAAGAATTTCCCAGTCCAAATGATCATAAGATTTTTGATTACCAAGCTTGGAATTTTTGCACTACAGCGAGAATGTATGCATTCGTGTGCTATTAGAGCCCCATTGAGAATCTAGCGTTCCTTCACAAAGGTCCCTTGGGATGATAAGATCACCTGACCAAGGACACGTTTTAGGTGGGAAGCCAGGCCCTCAAGAGAATCTTGTAGGAAGTATTAATCAGACTAATGGGTCTGAAGTCTTTAAGCTCTTCTGCTCCCTCTTTCTTACGGATCTTGGCAATGAAAGTGACATTCATCGCCTTATGGATAGTGGCTCGAGAGTGAAATTCAGAAAAGAAAGCCATGATATCAGTTCTAAGGGTATCCTAAAAGACTTCGAAGAGGGCTATGGGGAAGTTGTCAGGGTTGGGGACCTGGTCTCCATTGAGATCTTTAATGGCCTGGAGTACTTTGTCCTCTTAAATAGGGCTTTCCAAAGAGGCTGCAGATAAGGAAGAAATAGAAGAGAAGGAGAGGCCCGCCATTACTGGCCTAGGACCAGAAGGGGAAGAAAAAAGCTTGGAAAAATATTCGACAGCCGCTGCCTCAATGAGATTGGGATAGTCAACAATCCAGTCCCCCATCTTGAAGTGGGTAATAGAGTTCTCCCTTCTTCAACAGTTGGCTATCTTGTGGAAGTAAATTGTATTTTGGTTGCCAAGCTTGAGCCATTTGACTTTGGCCCGCTGAGCCCAATAAATTTCTTCTTTCTTTAGGAGGCATTGGTAATCATGTTTGTGGATGGATCGAGAATCCAGCTCAGAAGGGGAGAGATGTCTAAGTTCTTCAATGAAGTCTCAGTGTTTAGACCTCAAAAGGGAGTCTTTTTGGTATCATAAGTTTCCAGGGAGCTGTGAGCACCATGATTTCAGGAAACTTCGAGCATTTGAAGCTTTTTCTATGAGATAAAACCGGCCCACCCATTCACAAGGGGGGAGAAGGACTCCCAATGGTTACAGGCAGGAGAGGGGAAGCCGGGCTCATAGAGCCAAGACAGCTCAAAGCGAAAAGGCTTAGGCCCTCGAGGAGGGACTGGGTATCTAGCACGATAAGTCTATGATTTGAGGTGGGATTGGGAAGCATCAGAGAGTGGGTGCCAGGGAACTCATGATCCCACTCGAGAGGGGTTAGAAATCTATCTTCCTCTCAATCATTGGTGGTACATACAAAATATTACGCTCCAGTTTAGTACTATTACCACAAAAAGTTCTTAATATCTTAAACATCTTAAAAAGAATAAAACATGAATTTTAAAATTATAAATATTATTCTTTTACCAACGTATCTACACATAATTAAAGTAATAGAAAAATAAGAAAAACTAACATAAAAAAGATTTCGAGATGTGAATAGGTAAATGCCTCCATGTTTGTCACCAAAAAATGACGTACTTGGTGAGCCTCACCAGATTGTCTACTGGTGTGTCAGAAGCAGTAACAGATTAATCGGGTCAGAAGCGTCAACAGATTAATCGGATGTAGTGGTAGAGCCACACACCAAAACATGTCTAAAAACTGCATCTTTGATTCATCTAATCCATTCAGCTACTCACATGTTCTATAAGCAGATTAAATACTGCCAAACTCATGAGGTGCACAATATCATCATGCATATGACAAATCAAAATGAAATGACTCCAGATCCAATGATCCCATGGGCCAAATGAAAAATTCAATAGATATCATGATAGAATTGGGAAGAGGAAATAAGAATTCCAACTAAAATAAAAGCTATTATGCATCTTACCAATTGCTCATCAGGTTATGATTAAATCTAACAAGCAGGTCAAAAATGACCAAAACAAAATTCATGTCTACAAACAGAGTCATATGATGTTGATTATTTCTTAATGTACACCTAAAATGAAATCAAATGCACATAGTTACATACCATCTTAAACATACCTATGCACACATTATTCACAAAAATACAAGAAGTGGATCGTTATCAAGGGCTTCAACATGTTGTTTCATTCCATGATAACAAAATTCACTAATATAGGGTTGCCACAAGACAATAAAGACACCATAATAAGCTCCATCAATTAACAATATCCTCAATTCTTTACTACAATTTCATGACCCCTGGCTAGGTATGATTGGAGTGCGAAATCATTTTTTTTATGACTTGGGTACGGACCAAGATTGGCTATATAAAACTACTTGGCCTAGATCGTAACTGAAGTTTGTCAAAGTGATTTGTGAATTTTATATACAATTGTGGGATGCCCATCAGATTGGGTATACATGGCCCATGTTCAGCCACGCTATGCAAACTCCAAAAGAAAATGGTTGTACTTTTTTGTGATTGAACCATGAAAAAAATTTAGTTAACATTATCATAAAAAAAAATAAATAATTTTTTTTTGCAATAGGCTTTAGGCCAAATGCAATGCTCTGTAGTAATGCCAAAATCGATCCATCCTACTGTGCAATAGACCTGCTAGCCTTTAGTATCCTGATATTGTGGCTGCTAATGAGCAACATTATTTCTCTCGCTAATGCTCATTGTTTTGTTTCAATTTTCTATGTTTGGAGTGACTACTTCTCATTTTGAATTCTTTTTAGTACGTATTCCATGTATAAAGGCGCAGCAGGGAGGAATCAAAGGAATCCCGAAAGATGGGCACAGGTGGGGACAGGTTTGGCATGCACATTGTGTAGTGGGAACAAGAGAAGCAGCAACAGATCTCTGAATGGAAAAAGTGTCAGAATTCTTGTTTCGGAAGGCTAGCAAGACATAAATGTGGGCTACCTTCGAGGAACTATGTTGTGTCGTACACTCAATAGTGCAAACTGAGGATTTGGGATTCCAAAAACGAGCAGATGGATTTTTATACCCCACGAGATTATGGAGCATGGTGAGCATAAATTAGTTATTTTTATGTAGTTTCTCTATTTTCCGTAAATAATCGTTAACATAGAGTGCAGTTTAAGGCCGAGCAGCGCTTCCATCCACGACAACGATGTTAGTCCCAATAAAAATAATAATAAATAAATAAAATTGAAAAAAAAAAATTACTTGGATCCTATAAACCAAGCCATGTGGTGACAGGTAACCTTGAGAGTCATCTTTGGTGAATCTCATTCACCTTCCATCTCTATTTTTCTATACTTTTCTCTATCTTTTCTAGAGGGGTCAACCTCCTTTTATAGAGAACACATTTATTTTGTAACTCTTACATTCATGGTCTATAGGAGTTGAGATCCAAGTGTAACTCCAGTCTTAATTCCCTTAAGTGCAGCTAATTAGGATTAACAAGTTGTCACCAAACTGTTAATCTTATGTAATGAGCTGAACCTATCATTAGTCCACTAATGAGACACATAATAGGATGTCATCCAAACATTCTCATAATTTGATAAAAGATATTATAAATTAAATAAACTTTGTATATCTATAATATAAAAACAAATTCTTACAAAGAATCCAATTCCAAACACACCACTGAGTTTTTCCTCCAGTGACACTGGGTTTTCCCTCCAGTGCAACATCCTATTATATCCAAGTATGTTAACCACATGGGATTTAACATATACTTCAATATGGCTTTTGTACCATTATTGAAAAAAATAAATTTTCGAGAGAAAAGGGCCTGATAGGCCACATTTCCAACGACTCCTACTTGGCCTGAAGGCCCTTTGACTTCTTGTACATGGCATTGCCTCATGCTTTCCATATGGGATTTTCATATACCCAGCTAGTGTAGTTAAACACCACACTGAGATTTCCTGGCCTCCATAGCCATATATATGGCATTGCCCCATGCAATTTGCTTGGGATTTCACATATACCCTGCCAATGTGGTCATACACCACACTTAG